AAGATTCCTCCGAGTCTGTTCATGGCTTGATAGCTCTTTTTTTTTTAGTGTTGAATAATATTCTATTGTCTACACGTAACACAGTTTATCCATCTACCTCCTGGAAGACACATTGCTTGCTTCCAAGTTTGGGCAATTATGAATAAACTTGCTATAAACATTCATGTGCAAATTTTTCTATGGACATGTTTTTGTTTGGGCAAATATTAGGGAGCGCAACTACCAGATTGTATGTTAAGAGAAGGTTTGGTTTCATAAGATTCTGCCAAAAACTATCACAGGTGACCAAGAAAAGCTCTTGTTGCTCCCTTCTCCCGCGCCAGCATTTGATGTTGTCAGAGTTTGGGATTTTCATCATTCTAATAGGCATACAGTAGTGTCTCTTTGTTGTTTAAAAATTTATAATTCCTTAATGACCTTTGAAGTTGGGCATTTTTTCATAGTCTTATGTGCTATCTGTATCTCTTTGGTGAGGCATCTTCTCAGACTGTTTGCCTGCTTTTTAACTGGATTTTTCCTTTTCTTATCATTAATTGCAAGAGTTCTTCATATGTTTTTGGATATATAAGTAAGTAAAACTTTTGCAAATATTTTCTCCCATCCTGGGCTTGTCTTCTCTTTCTCTTCACAGTGTCATTTGCACAAGTTTTTAATTTTAATGAAATCCAGTTTTTCATTATTTCTTTTATAAATCTTGTCCCTGGTTTTGGATGTAAAAAGTCATTCTTATGAATAAGGTCACCTAGATTTCCCCTGTCATTTTCTATGAGTTTTTAGTTCTGTATTTTACATTCAGATCTATAATGAATTTTGAGTTAATTTTTGTGTCTAAATTCATATTTTCACATGTGGATATCGAGTTGTTTCAGCACCATTTGTTGAAAAAATAATATAGCTACATATATTTTCTTTTGAGTAAGATTAACATAGTATATCATTTTACTTTTAATCTGTGTCATTATACTTAAAGTGGGTTTCTTTTAGGCAACATATAACATTTTTGATCCATTCTGATAATCTTTTGTTTATTTACACCATGCATGCCTGCTAAGTAGCTTCAGTCATGTTCGACTCTTTGCCGCCAGGCCTCTCTGTCCATGGGATTCTCCAGGCAAGGATACTGGAGTGGTTTGCCATGCCCTCCTCCAGGGGATCTTCCTGACCCAAGGACTGAACCACAACTCATGCATCTCCTGCACTGGCAGGTAGGTTCTTTATCACCAGCGCCCCGGGAAGCCCTTACTTACACCATTGACATTTAAAATTATTATTGACATAGTTGGATTAATATGCATACTTGTTACTGTTTTCTACTTGTTGCCCTTCTTTGTTCCTATTTTTGTCTCCCAGTCTTTTTTTCTGCCTGTTGAGGTTCTAACTGAGCATTGTACATGATTCATTTTCTCTTTCTTAGCATATTTATTATATTTATTTTTTCCTTTTTTTTAGTAGTTATCCTAGAGTTTGCATCCATATCTACTTTCAGTAGCAATATACTACTTCACCGATAGTACAAGTATCTTATAATAGCAAGATATTCCTAATTTTTCCTCCCGTCCTTTGTATCAGTGCTGCCATTTATTTTACTTATACATAAATTAAAATAACCAGATATTGTTGCTATAATTATTTTGAACAAACTTTACCTGCAAGATCAATTAAGAGTAATAAAAATAACAGTTGTTCTTTTACCTTCATTTATTCCTTCTCTTATGCTCTTTCTTTCTGTATTGTAGGTCCATGTTTCTGATCTAGATCACTTTCCTTCCCTCTAAAAAATTTCCACATTTCTTGCAACTGTTGTCACAAGGTCTATTGACAAGAAATTCCCTCAATTTTCTTTTTTCTGAGTACATTGTTTGCTGCCTTCAGAGGGACTATTGCCTCCCTTGGACTTTCCATCTGATTTGATCCTCCCATTGAGTTGATACATTTGAGCTAATGATTTATACCACCTCACCCATCTTCTTTTTTAATCAAAGCTCAGTCTTTGGATTCTTTTTTTTTTCACCTATCTTCACTCTCTGAAGACCATCCAGTCTCATACATGTGTACATATGCTAATGACTCCCACACTTGTAACTAAGGTTGAACCCTTCCTGTGAATTCCTGAGTTATATCTCCAACTACCTATCAACATTTTCATTTGGATACTTAGTAAACATCCCAAATTTACCATTTCCAGGATTGAGCTCTCCGGATTTCTTTTTAAATTTTTAAGGTTTTTTCTTCTTGTTTTATTGAGACATAATTTACATAACATATAATTCACCCATGTAAAGTGTCTAATTCAATGTTTTGGTTCTTTTTTAACTTTTTATTTGCATTCATAACTGGGTAAGTGTTAGGCACCAAAACCCTAGCTTTCAGCCTGTCTTGGCTCTAGACATGCCTTCCTCACTAAGCTAAATCCTTTCTAGCTTTTGATTTAAAATGAGAGATGTGCAACTCTTCCTTCTACTTGAACACTTAGAGGCCATTGTAGGGTTATTAATTGGCCTAATTTCAATATTATTGTAACTCAGGGAATAGGGAGGCCAGAGGAGAGTTAGAGAGATGGCAAATGACCAGTTGGTGGAGCAGTCAGAGAACACACTACATTTATTGATTAAGTATGTCACCTTATAAGGCCATGGTTCACAGTACCCCAAAATAGTAACAGTAACACCAAAGATCATTGATCACAGATCACTGTAACAAATATAATGATAATGGAAAAGTTAGACATATTCTGAGACCTACCAAAATGTGACACAGAGACATGAAGTGAGCAACTGCTGTTGAAAAAATAACACCAACAGACTTGCTCGAGGCAGTCACCACAAACCTTCAATCTATTAAAAAAAACTCAGTATCCACAAAACACAGTAAAGTGAAGTGCAACAAAACAGGGTATGCCTATAGTTTCACTGCCCCAAATATCTTAAAATTCTAAAAATGTGCTCCACCTATTCATCCCTCCCTCCCCCAAGCTCCTGGCAATCACTGAGCTTTTTACGGGCACCACAGTTTTGCATTTTCCAGAATGTTATACAGTTGGAATCATACAGTGTATAGCCATTTCAAGCTGACTTCTTTCACTTAGTAATATGCATTTAAGATTCCTCTATGACTTTTCATGGCTTGATAGTTCATTTCTTTTTAGCATTGAATAATATTCCATTATATAGATGTACCACAGTTTATGCATCCCTTCATGCCTGAAGAACATCTTGAAAAAATTGCTTCTGAGTTTTGACAGCTATGAATAAAGCTGCTATAAGCAACCATGAACAGGTTTCTGAGTAGACATAAATTTTCAACTCATTTGGATAAATGCTATGGAGTACAACTGTAGATTCTATGGGGAAAGTGTATTTAGTTTTGCACAAAAGAAACTATTAAATTGCCAGCAGCAGTAAGTAAGAGCTCCTATTGCTCCACATCCTTGCCAGCATTTGGTATTAATGTTTCGGGTTTTCACCATTATCATAAGGTGTATAGTTGTATCTCAGTGTCATTTTAATTTACAATTCTCTAGTAATATATGATGTTGAGGATCTTTTCATATGCTTTTTGCATCCTTTTTTAATGGTTAAGTTAGAGTCTTTTCAAAAATTAAGTTAATAAATATAGGTTCAAATATTCTCATTTCAGTGGACTCATTTAGCCAGAATCATCTGATATACCAGTGCATCACAAATTGGGATGTGGGAGCTGCGGCGGGGTCTGGGGCTCAGAACAGCGGCGGGAGGAGGAGGACACGTGGCAGCAGCAGCAGTAGCAGCCCCGGTGGCGGCGGCGGCAGAAGGCATCGGCACGAGCCGCCTGCCGTCTTCCCTCCTTCCCGCCTCGCGGCAGCCCTAGCTCCTTCCTCTTCGCTCCCCCGGCCGCACTTGCTCGGCCGGGAGCCGCTGTCTTCTTTTTCTCATTTTCTGAAAGGAAGGACCCGGCGCGGGGCGCAGACCATCGCCGCTATGGGGAAGGGGGTTGGACGTGATAAATATGAACCGGCAGCCGTTTCAGAGCATGGCGACAAGAAAAAGGCTAAGAAAGAGAGGGATATGGACGAGCTGAAGAAAGAAGTTTCTATGGACGATCATAAACTTAGCCTTGATGAACTTCATCGCAAATATGGAACAGACTTGAACCGAGGCTTAACAACTGCTCGAGCTGCCGAGATCCTAGCCAGAGATGGACCCAACGCCCTCACGCCCCCTCCCACGACCCCCGAATGGGTCAAGTTCTGTCGACAGCTGTTTGGGGGGTTCTCAATGTTACTGTGGATTGGAGCAGTTCTTTGCTTCTTGGCCTATGGCATCCAAGCTGCTACAGAAGAGGAACCTCAAAATGATAATCTGTATCTTGGTGTGGTGCTGTCTGCAGTCGTCATCATAACCGGCTGTTTCTCCTACTATCAAGAAGCAAAAAGCTCTAAGATCATGGAGTCCTTCAAAAACATGGTTCCTCAGCAAGCCCTCGTGATTCGAAATGGTGAAAAGATGAGCATAAACGCAGAAGAGGTTGTCGTCGGAGATCTGGTGGAAGTGAAAGGAGGGGATTGAATTCCTGCTGATCTCAGAATCATTTCTGCAAATGGCTGCAAGGTGGATTACTCCTCACTCACGGGAGAGTCAGAGCCACAGACCAGGTCTCCTGATTTCACCAATGAAAATCCCCTGGAGACACGGAACATTGCCTTTTTTTCAACCAACTGTGTTGAAGGCACTGCACGTGGCATTGTTGTGTATACCCGGGATCGAACCGTGATGGGCAGGATTGCGACTCTGGCTTCTGGGCTGGAAGGGGGCCAGACTCCCATCGCTGCAGAAATTGAACATTTTATCCACATCATCACGGGTGTGGCTGTGTTCCTGGGTGTGTCTTTCTTCATCCTTTCTCTGATCCTTGAGTACACCTGGCTTGAGGCTGTCATCTTCCTCATCGGCATCATTGTAGCCAATGTGCCAGAGGGTCTGCTGGCCACCGTCACGGTGTGCCTGACCCTGACTGCCAAGCGCATGGCCAGGAAGAACTGCTTAGTGAAGAACCTGGAGGCTGTGGAGACCTTGGGATCCACGTCCACCATCTGCTCAGACAAAACTGGAACTCTGACCCAGAACCGGATGACAGTGGCCCACATGTGGTTCGACAACCAAATCCATGAGGCGGACACGACAGAGAATCAGAGCAGTGTTTCATTTGACAAGACTTCGGCCACCTGGCTTGCTCTCTCCAGAATTGCAGGTCTTTGTAACAGGGCCGTGTTTCAGGCTAACCAGGATAACCTGCCTATCCTGAAGCGGGCTGTAGCAGGTGATGCATCCGAGTCTGCTCTCCTAAAGTGCATTGAGGTCTGCTGTGGTTCTGTGAAGGAGATGAGAGAGAGATATGCCAAGATCGTCGAGATCCCGTTCAACTCCACTAACAAGTACCAGTTGTCCATCCACAAGAACGCCAATGCAGGTGAGCCCCGGCACCTACTGGTGATGAAAGGTGCTCCGGAAAGGATCCTGGATCGCTGCAGCTCCATCCTCATCCATGGCAAGGAGCAGCCCCTGGACGAGGAGCTGAAGGATGCCTTTCAGAATGCCTACCTGGAGCTGGGCGGCCTCGGAGAGCGGGTACTGGGTTTCTGCCACTTGATGCTGCCAGATGAGCAGTTTCCCGAAGGCTTCCAGTTTGACACCGACGATGTGAACTTCCCTGTTGATAATCTCTGCTTCGTGGGGCTCATCTCCATGATTGACCCGCCACGGGCTGCTGTCCCAGATGCTGTGGGCAAATGCCGGAGTGCTGGAATCAAGGTCATCATGGTCACTGGAGACCATCCCATCACTGCCAAAGCCATTGCCAAAGGTGTGGGCATCATCTCAGAAGGTAATGAGACTGTGGAAGACATTGCTGCCCGCCTCAACATCCCAGTGAGCCAGGTGAACCCCAGGGATGCCCGGGCCTGTGTGGTGCACGGAAGCGATCTAAAGGACATGACTTCCGAGCAGCTGGATGACATTTTGAAATACCACACGGAGATTGTGTTCGCCAGGACCTCTCCGCAGCAGAAGCTCATCATTGTGGAAGGCTGCCAGAGACAGGGTGCCATCGTGGCTGTAACTGGAGACGGTGTCAATGACTCCCCGGCTTTGAAGAAGGCAGACATTGGGGTTGCCATGGGGATTGCGGGCTCAGACGTGTCTAAGCAAGCTGCTGACATGATTCTCCTAGATGACAACTTTGCCTCAATTGTGACTGGAGTAGAGGAAGGTCGTCTGATCTTTGATAACTTGAAGAAATCCATTGCTTATACCCTCACTAGTAACATTCCTGAGATTACCCCCTTCCTGATATTTATTATTGCAAACATTCCACTCCCTCTGGGAACCGTCACCATCCTCTGCATCGACTTGGGAACGGACATGGTCCCTGCCATCTCCCTGGCTTACGAGCAGGCTGAGAGCGACATCATGAAGAGACAGCCCAGAAACCCCCAGACAGACAAACTCGTGAATGAGCGGCTGATCAGCATGGCCTACGGGCAGATTGGTATGATCCAGGCCCTGGGGGGCTTCTTCACTTACTTTGTGATCATGGCTGAGAACGGCTTCCTCCCAAATCACCTGCTGGGCATCCGAGTGACCTGGGATGACCGTTGGATCAACGACGTGGAGGACAGCTATGGGCAGCAGTGGACCTATGAGCAGAGGAAGATTGTGGAGTTCACCTGCCACACGGCCTTCTTTGTCAGTATCGTGGTGGTGCAGTGGGCTGACTTGGTCATCTGCAAGACCAGGAGGAATTCCGTCTTCCAGCAGGGGATGAAGAACAAGATCTTAATATTTGGCCTCTTTGAAGAGACAGCCCTTGCTGCTTTCCTTTCCTACTGCCCTGGAATGGGTGTCGCCCTGAGGATGTATCCCCTCAAACCTACCTGGTGGTTCTGTGCCTTCCCCTACTCTCTCCTCATCTTCGTGTATGACGAAGTCCGAAAGCTCATCATCAGGCGACGCCCTGGCGGTTGGGTGGAGAAGGAGACCTACTACTAGACCCCCTCCTGCACGCCGTGGAGCATCATGCCACAAACTCTGCACCCACCACCCACCCCCTCTTTGTGTACTTCAGTCTTGGAATTCGGAATTCCACCCTGGTAGGAAAGCACCGAAGCATGTGGGGAAGCGAGCCGTCCCGGAATGAAGCATGTAGCTCTGTGGGGGGGTGGGGGTGGGGGGAGGACTGCCCGAGAAACATCCGTCTGTGGAAACGACCGTGGGGAAGGTTTTTATGTGCCTTTTTGTTTTTGTAAAATGGAAAACTCGGAAAGACTGAAAGAATACATTTTATATCTGGATTTTTACAAATAAAGATGGCTATTATAATGGAAAAAAAAAAAACAAATTGGGATGTGACTCACATAAGAATGGGGGATGAATAGAGAAAGGGGATTTCAACTTATTAAACTATTAATACTAGCTCTATTTTGATTGCCTTAAAATAGCAGGCACCTATTTGCAAAGCCAGAATTAGCTACGGAGTCTGGCATTTGTTGTCAAAACTGAGACCAAAGACTCTAAATTTAAAGTGGGCTCTGCTGGCTAGAAAATCTGCCCCCAGGAAGGAAACCCAGCTTCCCATCTCAGTTCCTTGCCTACCTTTCTAGGATTTATAAGGAGGTAGGAAAGTCAGTGCACTTTCTTTGGATCCAGGGTTAAACTGATGAGGACAAACATGTTGCAAAATGCCCAGGTCTGTTGGCTTATGGCTGTTTGTAAGGCATGTGGGCAGCTGATATATGGAAAAAGAGAGGTCCTAGTATTTATCCAATAAAACATTAGCCACCTACAAAGGCGCCCTGGTCTTTGTCCTATAAAACATAAGAGGTCTATCATTTTGCTGGGATTTTACCAATTTCTCTGATTTTTCACGGAGGCTATTTGTTAGAATCGAGGGGCTGATATCTATTGAGTTCATGTTGCAGAAAGATGTCTTCATTTCAGGATGGAGCCTGCAGATACAGCCTTCTTTGAGACACCCCCTGACACCACCTGCACATCCAAGAGAGCATTTTATCAGAACATATGGCCTACAGGGAAACAAGAACAAAGGATCATTTCCTGGGGACATGTGCATGAAAATTCTGCAACTTTTTTTCTCAAAGCAAAAAAAAAAAAGCCAAGCAACTCCCATTATTTCTGATACCTGGAATCTGCTTGTTGACAAAACCATGTTCTCCCCCAAATTTAAGTAAATCAAAGAACAGGGTAGAGTACCTTTTAGCTTGGTTTATAGTCTCATAGTCTGATTCACCAGAGACCAAATTCAGTTTTCGATGTATCGATGTTTTGTTTTGTTTTTTCCCCATCAAAAGAGGAAAAGACACAACCACTCCAGAGAATTCTGTAGCAGTGTCATCCAACTTAAGACCCATACCTACCACACAATGCAGCAATGGCACACGTAAATATTCACTCCAGAGAAATGAGAGCAAATGTCCACATAAAATCTTATGCATAAATGTTATTTGTGGCTTTATTCAAAATAGCCCCAAACTGAAAATAATCTACATGTCACAAACAAAAGAATAGATAAATTGTAGTACACCCTATAGGCGAGTACATCTCAGCAATAAAAAAGTAACAAACTACCAAATTTCAAAAAACAGGCTGAATGAAGAGGAGTCATACCCAATAGAATGCATACTGTAAGATTCCACTTATATAAACTATAAAATAAGGCAAAAGTAATCTACAATGATAATAATCCAAACAGTAGTTTTTTCTGGAGAGGGGGTGGATTGGGACAAGAAATAAAGAAACTTGCTAGGGTAATGGATATGTTCTCTGTCTCAGTTGAGATGACAACTACATGGGAATATACGTTTGTCAAAATTCAACAAACTATACAAATTGAAATCCGCACATTCTATTGTATGTAAATTACACCTCAATTTTTTTTTTTTTTTTAAAGAATATCAGGGTAGAAGAGAAGAATCCCCACTGAGGCAAAAGGCAGAGGAAGAAGGGCAGCGGTCCCTTCTGTTTCTGTGGTAATTGAAGCTCCATATTTGGTCTCTGTGTTCAGATGAGTTTTTATTACCCTGGGATTATTGAAAGTTATTATCAGCCAAGATGACAGCAGAAAGAAAGAGGAGACAGACCTTCCAGAAATCATTTTCCCCATGATTTTTTTAAAGCACATTTTTCAGTCATTATCTTGAGAGAAAACAAGCAGCTGGGTCTCTTAACAAAGAGGTTTAATAGGCTACTGGGAAAAAAGAGAGGGGAAATTGAGGCGAACAATGCCCATTTCGGTGCCAGCCACACAAAACCAAGCCTAGTGAGTGAAGCCAGTGGCTCCTCTCTGCCACTAGCATCGTTAGAGGCCTAACACTCAATAATGAAGGGTCCTCCAATTATTGGCGTGATTTGAGGCATATTGTTCAAAACATTCTAAAACCTGAAATTGCAGCCGCAAATGCACTGATGGCCCTCACCCTCATCTGTCAAAATAGATGTAAATGCAAAAGGAAGGATAGGAACCCCACGTGCATTGTCAGCTCACTTCTCTTGTTTCTTTTTACCTTCCTTGTCCTTTTAAATCCATCTGGGTCTGAGCTGCTGGCTTCAAAGTTTCCAACTGACCTCCAACCCAGTGTGTTCAGCTCTTACCTCCTTTTCAGTTTTGCACAAAATTAGCAAAACACATGTAATGGGTGATTGGTAAGGACATGATGCAACATTCTGAAAAGCAAATATAAGGGAGGCTTGGCTTCTGTTTGAGCAGGCTTCTCTCCTGCTTCAGACCACACACACACACACATACACACATACATACACACCCATTCCTGTTTAATTGCAAAATTCAGATGTTGGATGGTTGGGGGATAGCTCCCTAACAAAGGAACACTGAGATGCCTTCTAAATTCTACTTAGGCTAAATTAACTATGTGGGCAACAATACCAGTACTGCTTTTTTCCTTAAACATATATATTAGCCAAGATGCAGACTAAATAAATACTGTTTAATGAAAAATGAATTATGTAAATGTAATTTATAGCATTAATTTGGGCTTGTAAATTTAATCCACTCAAATGTAGAAAGGTTTCCGTGCAATGAATATTTCTGAGGTTGTTTAATATGTTAAAATAAATACTGAGTCTCTGACAGAAAAACATGTCCTCTGCATCACAAAAGCTATTTTGAAACAATAAATTAAGTGCCTGCTGAATATTTACAATCATGAGTTTTTAACTCTTAGGTAAATTTTCTTCCTAAAATATTCAGTATGCCATCCATCCAAGCAGCAGACAGATTCTAATGGCAGCAGTGCAAACACGTGCATGCTGAAAACATTTTAGGTGAATAAATGCCACAGTATGAGATGGTGGGGGAAGCGCTTTTTGTAAAATAGGTCTATTTAATGCCACCTGGAAAGCAGCAAGAAATGTAAATATTTGGGGAGCTTTATGGTGCCCCAAAGGTACTGCCACTCACCATTCACCTGCTAGAGCATTTACAATGAAGACCCAAATATTAAAAGGAAAAAGAAGTGAGCTATTTAGAAGTGTTTTATGTAAGAATATAAAGTTGAGACTTAAAACAAGGTAGTTTTTAAAATACTAAGATTGGGGGGGAGAACGTTATTCATTCCATGTTTTCGCAATAAAAAGGAAACCTGAAGATCTTATATAAAAGATGACTAGCTGGGAGACTTGAAAGAAGTCCATGGTGTCTGCTGGACACAAGGTTGTCCTGCCTGCCCTGCCTTCTCAGTAAGATTTTGTCATGACCATCAAGTGGGATTGTGTGGTGGGAGCAAGTTACAAACTGTCCCATCTTTACTATTAAAATATGTTGCTTTTTATTTGTTTTTTGTTTTTTTGGTTTTTTTTGGTTATGATATATACTTTTACTTAGATTACTTAATTTTGAAATATTCAGTAATTTTATTTTTTTCTTTTTTTTTCTTTTCTTTTTTTTTCATTTATTTTTATTAGTTGGAGGCAAATTACTTTACAATATTGTAGTGGGTTTTTTCATACATTGACATGAATCAGCCATGGATTTACATGTATTCCCCATCCCAATCCCCCCTCCCACCTCCCTCTCTACCCAATCCCTCTGAGTCGAGCATCATTTCTCAGAAGAAGAGTATTAGGCCATAATGTTCACTGAGGGAAAAGTATGAAGACCTGTAAATGGTTTCTACTTTTAGTTTTCTTCTTCCTCCAGGTTTCTGCAGTAGTTTGTGTAGACTTTGCTGGAGAACTGATTGTAGACTCCTAAAACAAACAAAAAAAAAAACAGAAACTGGGTTTTGCTCCACAGTCTTACAGCCAGCCAACCAACCCAGCTCCTGACCAGCATTGTTGAGTTAACTTTAACTCATCCTCCCTATCCCCAAGCTCAGGATTGGATTATCCCCGTGGCATAATCATGGCATTGATCCTCAAATGTTTTGACCTCTCCTGATGAGAAGGGAAGGGAAGACCCACAGTCTATGTTTAGGCAGGTGTTCACTGGGAGTACAAAAGTATTTTTTCCTTTTTTTTTAATGGTTGAAATACTTTATTTTACATTTTATATTAAATATATTCTTTATAGTGGAGGTAGTTACTACAGGTATTTTTGTGGACTGATAGGTAGGTAAGACTGTTCGGGGGATGCAAGAATAGAAAAAGTAATAGAGTCTTACATACCCACATGTCAGGTATTTGTAGGACCTCAACAACATAAGTTCCTGCTTCCTGCTAATAATCCCTCATTTCTCTATTTACTGCATATTATTTTAGTTTATTTTATATATTAAAACTTCTAGTTTTTCAAATATTATTGAATTTTTTCTGGCACCACTTGTATGTTTCCATAGTTCTGTAATGAAAGAATTTCCCAGCTAATACATTTGGAATAATGTTGTATAAGAGACCTTGAAAATTCATAGAATATGTGAATAAATTGAAGCCTCCGATGATTTCTGTATTTAAAAACCTGTTGACTTTCTTTAACTTAATTTTTCACAATGGTTTTTGTATTATAGACCTCTTTATTG